GATAGGAATTCAGTACGTAATAAGTAATTTTCAAATATTCTCTGGTACCTTCGCTACCCGGCACATGATTTTCCAATAATGCCCAAATTTTTGGGTCACAAATTTTAATTACAGAACCAAAATTCATTTTGTCTCTTGATGATAAGTCACTTTGAGTCAAAAGGTGTTTATCTTTGGAAACAGTATTTATTAAAATTTGTAAATGTCCAGAAGAAATAATAAAATGTCCTAAAGGCATTATTATTGAATATTTTAATAAGCGACATCTTAATTTTGCACCAATGTGTACTGTATCTTGAGTACAGAGTAAATTTGGCAAAATTGCTGCGTGAAATTCCGGGATCGAATAATTGTTTTCAATGTCATCAAAATTAGGAAGTTCAAGGCCAAGATTCATTTTTTGGCGCATAGCTTTTAGTAACCGCGAATCACCATCAGAAGAGATACCAGCTACTTTAATACCCTGGCCATTTAGCTCTCGACATATAAATTTCCAACGGTTAAGAACATCTTGGAAATTAAACTTATTATCAGTTCCAAATAAACACAAGCAAAAGCAAGGCGCGTTGTTCTCTAGTGGTTGTGCCATTATTGTATATAAAAATGGAGCTGCTGCATTGTTACTAAAATGATCGTAAATTTCAGTAGTATAGCTAGGAGAGATCTGGGACAGGTTCTGATCTCGGCTAAGTACCCTCGGTCGGTAATGCAGATTTCTACTTTATCAGTGGTTGGTAGGGGTGTTCTACCTTACCGACCGAGTGTAGTTCCTGCTGCCACCGCTAGATGGCGCCACTTACAAATTCCAAACCCCTTGGCGGGAAATTTAAAATTTTAATTTTAAACTTTCAAGTGGCTTAGAAGGGGTTCTCTGTTTTACCAACCGATTTTTTTAGTTCTGGCTGCCGCCGACAGATGGCGCCACCATCGAATTCAAACCTGCATGGCGGGAAATTTAAAAATTTAATTTCAAACTTTCAAGTGGCTTAGAGAGGGTTCTCTGTTTTACCGACCGATTTCTTTTTAGTGCCGGCTACCGCTGATGGATGGCGCTACTAGCGAATTCAAACTTGCTTGGCGGGAAATTTAAAAAATTTATTTGAAAAATTCAAACCGCTTGGACAGTGAGACGCCATTTTGTTTTACCGACAGAGTGCGGTTTGAGTGTTGTGCCGAGAGATGGCGCCACAACTGAATCGTTTGTATTTCGCGGGAAAAGATGGCGTCATATTGTATACACTAATAAGATTATTAAAATTTTAATAGATGGCGCTTGTAAAAGTTGTTGAAATCTATTATATTAAACATAACCTTAAAATCTATTATATTAAACATAACCTTAAAATCTATTTTATTAAACATAACCTTAAAATCTATTTTATTAAACATAACCTTAAAATGTATACCTTATTATCTAACGTAATACTAATGAAGGTATTTAATTAAATATAGTATTAATAACAGTTCATACATTTATTATATTCAATATACAATATTTACACTTGTTTAATTTTAAATTCGTATAATTATCGTTTACAAGAATTACTGTTTACAAATATATGAAAATATATGTTTATTATATGTAAAAATAAAATGTTCATTTATAATTAATATTTATATATTCTAAAACTATAACTATTTATTTAAGTAAGGTAAGTTTAATTAACTTTTTTTTGTTTAATAATAATAATAATAATAATAAAAATAATAATAATAATAATAATAATAATAATAATAATAATAATAATAATAATAATAATAATAATAATAATAATAGTAATAATATAATAATAATAATAGTAATAATATAATTTATAAAATTATTTATAATAATAATTTATTAATAAAGGTAAGTTAATTTTTCTATAACATATTCTTAAATCTTTAAAAGCATTTTTGAATTTAAATTGAAATTCGCGCCAAGGTCAATTTCAGATTCGATATGTATGAATCGATGTTCAACGGCTCTAAAAGAATAGAAGTTTTCTCATTGGCTAGTTTCATTAGTAAAAATTATTAAGGTTTAATGTTGAAAATAGTAATAATAATCTTGTTAATTTTATAAATCAAACAAAAAATTTGTAATAATAAGTATATACTTATTATTATTTTAAAGCAAGAAATGTTTATTCGCTTATATTTTAGAAATATTGGTTTGTAATTTCCACATTTTCCTACTTGTTTAATGTGTGGCGGGAATTTTTAAATTTTATTTTACACAATATTTTAAATTTATTATTTCATATATTTATTAAGTAATTTTATGCATAATATTATGTAAAATAAAAGTTAAATTTTTAATTATTAAAAAAACCATTATTACTCATTAAAAAATTCTAACAATTAAGAATATTGTGAAAGGATAGGAATTTAGTTTCATTAGGACACCCCTGAGATAAAGCCACCATCTTTTAAGACAACCTAACCTCAGACTAAACCAGACTGGACTAAACAGGCATTTATAAATTGTTGAAACTGGTGAGAGAAACCTCATGCGGCATAAACCGGCGTTTTATTGTGATTCTTTTGTTTCTATAATTCTAATATTTACAATGGTGAGTAGTATTATTCAAATGAGTAATGGAAGTGCTTTAAATAATTAAAAGTAATTATTTACTTTGTTTTAAAGGATCCGAATCAGCATAAGATGTACTGCTTCTGCAACGCAGTTAATTGTCCCTATCGAAGAGACTTTCAAAATCTTGTAAGTATTCTTTCTTTTCAAATTCTTTTTTCTACATGTCAAACGTCTGTAATCTTTTCTTCTCAAATTCTTTTTTCCATTACTACAACGATATAACCTCAAACGGATTATATTTTTCTTAACAAATTCTTTTTCTCAATTAATATAAAGATATAATTTTCTCAAAATTCTTTCTTCTCAAATTCTTTTTTCTACATGTCAAACGTCTGTAAACTTTTCTTCTCAAATTCTTTTTTTCCATTAATATAAAGATATAACCTCAAACGGATTACATTTTTCTTAACAAATTCTTTCTTTTCAAATTCTTTTTTCTACATGTCAAACGTCTGTAAACTTTTCTTCTCAAATTCTTTTTTCCAATAATATAAAGATATAACCTCAAACGGATTACATTTTTCTTAACAAATTCTTTCTTTTCAAATTCTTTTTTTCTACATGTCAAACGTCTGTAAACTTTTCTTCTCAAATTTTTTTTTTCCATTAATATAAAGATATAACCTCAAACGGATTACATTTTTCTTAACAAATTCTTTCTTCTCAAATTCTTTTTTCTACATGTCAAACGTCTGTAATCTTTTCTTCTCAAATTCTTTTTTCCATTACTACAACGATATAACCTCAAACGGATTATATTTTTCTTAACAAATTCTTTTTCTCAATTAATATAAAGATATAATTTTCTCAAAATTCTTTCTTCTCAAATTCTTTTTTCTACATGTCAAACGTCTGTAAACTTTTCTTCTCAAATTCTTTTTTTCCATTAATATAAAGATATAACCTCAAACGGATAACATTTTTCTTAACAAATTCTTTCTTCTCAAATTCTTTTTTCTACATGTCAAACGTCTGTAAACTTTTCTTCTCAAATTCTTTTTTTCCATTAATATAAAGATATAACCTCAAACGGATTACATTTTTCTTAACAAATTCTTTCTTTTCAAATTCTTTTTTCTACATGTCAAACGTCTGTAAACTTTTCTTCTCAAATTCTTTTTTCCATTAATATAAAGATATAACCTCAAACGGATTACATTTTTCTTAACAAATTCTTTCTTTTCAAATTCTTTTTTTCTACATGTCAAACGTCTGTAAACTTTTCTTCTCAAATTTTTTTTTTCCATTAATATAAAGATATAACCTCAAACGGATTACATTTTTCTTAACAAATTCTTTCTTCTCAAATTCTTTTTTCTACATGTCAAACGTCTGTAAACTTTTCTTCTCAAATTCTTTTTTTCCATTAATATAAAGATATAACCTCAAACGGATTACATTTTTCTTAACAAATTCTTTCTTTTCAAATTCTTTTTTCTACATGTCAAACGTCTGTAAACTTTTCTTCTCAAATTCTTTTTTTCCATTAATATAAAGATATAACCTCAAACGGATTACATTTTTCTTAACAAATTCTTTCTTTTCAAATTCTTTTTTCTACATGTCAAACGTCTGTAAACTTTTCTTCTCAAATTCTTTTTTCCAATAATATAAAGATATAAACTCAAACGGATTACATTTTTCTTAACAAATTCTTTCTTTTCAAATTCTTTTTTCTACATGTCAAACGTCTGTAAACTTTTCTTCTCAAATTCTTTTTTCCATTAATATAAAGATATAACCTCAAACGGATTACATTTTTCTTAACAAATTCTTTCTTCTCAAATTCTTTTTTCTACATGTCAAACGTCTGTAATCTTTTCTTCTCAAATTCTTTTTTCCATTACTACAACGATATAACCTCAAACGGATTATATTTTTCTTAACAAATTCTTTTTCTCAATTAATATAAAGATATAATTTTCTCAAAATTCTTTCTTCTCAAATTCTTTTTTCTACATGTCAAACGTCTGTAATCTTTTCTTCTCAAATTCTTTTTTCCATTACTACAACGATATAACCTCAAACGGATTATATTTTTCTTAACAAATTCTTTTTCTCAATTAATATAAAGATATAATTTTCTCAAAATTCTTTCTTCTCAAATTCTTTTTTCTACATGTCAAACGTCTTTAATCTTTTCTTCTCAAATTCTTTTTTTTCATTACTACAACGATATAACCTCAAACGGATTATATTTTTCTTAACAAATTCTTTTTTCTCAATTAATATAAAGATATAATTTTCTCAAAATTCTTTCTTTTCAAATTCTTTTTTTTTTCTACATGTCAAAAATCTCTCTTTTTCATTTATTTAATTAATAAATTATATAAAAGTTATTAAAAATTTTCAGAATTACCTAGTATGCATAGTAATAATACTTTTTTTTTCAATTCATTATGTTTATTATTACTTTTTTCAATTCATTATTATATTTATTATTACTATTTTTTTCAGAATGAAGTTAATAGAGCGTTAAACTTAATGCAAAATATGCAATATAATCCGGATGAACCAGCTTTATTCATAGCAAGGCCAAACCATTGGGATATTCCACCTGCCAACGTAGATCAAAGAAATGATCAAGTATTACCTATACTCCCAAATGATCTCATTAATGAAGTCTTGCAAATGGATAATAATCATTTGGGAGTATTAGTCAATGGAGCTGAGGCAATATTATTATTAGCAGAGGAGCCAGCTCCACGCCCTGTGCCAGAACCAGCTCTACACCCTATACCAGTACCAGCTCCACGCCCTGTGCCAGCACAGGTTGAAAGACTAGTACCAGCTCCACGTCCTGTGCCAGCACAGGTTGAAAGACTAGTACCAGCTCCACGTCCTGTGCCAGAACCAGCTCTACACCCAATACCAGTACCAGCTCTACGCCCTGTGCCAGCACAGGTTGAAAGACTAGTACCAGCTCCACGTCCTGTGCCAGCACAGGTTGAAAGACTAGAACCAGCTCCATGGATCCGTGTCCGAACTAACCCAAGGAGGGTGGATCCGGCACAAGGTGCACGCCCTGTTCCAGCACCGAGACGAGCACATGTTGCTAGATTACAGCCAGCTCCACGCCCTGTACCAGCACAGGTTGAAAGACTAGAACCAGCTCCATGGATCCGTGTCCGAACTAACCCAAGGAGGGTGGATCCGGCACAAGGTGCACGCCCTGTTCCTGCGCCTGCACTACCACCGAGAGTTGCGCGGCAACCAGCACCCGCACTACCACCGAGAGTTGCGCGGCAACCAGCACCCGCACTACCACCGAGAGTTGCGCGGCAACCTGCACCCGCACTACCACCGAGAGTTGCGCGGCAACCAGCACCCGCACTACCACCGAGAGTTGCGCGGCAACCAGCACCCGCACTACCACCGAGAGTTGCGCGGCAACCAGCACCCGCACTACCACCGAGAGTTGCGCGGCAACCAGCACCCGCACTACCACCGAGAGTTGCGCGGCAACCAGCACCCGCACTACCACCGAGAGTTGCGCGGCAACCTGCGCCTGCTCCATGGATTCGTACCGGAACTCACCCACAGAGGATAACTCCACCACTAGCTCCACGCCCTGTGCCGGCATCAAGGCGCTCCATACTCATTCCAGCTCGTCGTTTGAGGACTACAGCTCGTCAACGCCTTACAAAAGCGATGAAGGCCTGGGTAACAGCCTCATCCAAAAAGAGACGTTAGATTTCATGTTCATCTTTTTTTTTTCACATTATTTATTCTCATCTTTCAGTTTCATTTTTTTTTTTTTTTTTTTTTTTTTACTTATTCTTTTATTTTATTTATTTATAATTTCACATTATGTTTGTATTTTTTTTTCTAGCTTCTTTTATTTCTGCAAGTCCTTTTTTTTTTAATCAGAAAAAAAGTTTAGTGTTGTGATGTGTTTGATGCATGCTTCTTTTATTATCATTTCATTCATTAATAGTTAAAAAGCTATTTATGTCAATATAAATATGTAAAAATATATTATATTCTTTTGTTTTTATTTCCATATTTATATTTCTTGTTTATTTTTTTATACATGTTGATTCGATGTAGATGTGATATCTCTCTCTAGAATATTATAAGTAAAGTTTACACTTATAATAACTTTAAAGTAATAATTATCATTTCATTCATTAATAGATAAAAAGCTATTTATGTCAATATAAATATGTAAAAATATATTATATTCTTTTGTTTTTTTTTTTTACATATTTATATTTCTTGTTTATTTTTTTTATACATGTTGATTCGATGTAGATGTGATATCTCTCTAGAATATTATAAGTAAAGTTCACACTTATAATTTTGTTTTTTTTTCTATTCTTAAATGTACATGTGCTAAAAATTTGTTTGTTTTCATGTGAATGTACATATGTATGTTTAATATAATTATTTTTAAACATTTTTGTTGCATGAGCTTTATTTCACCATCATTTAACTATAGTTTAACATTGGCTTAATTCTAATTTCCCTTTATTTTATCAATACTATTTTGAGTTTAATAAATCTTTTATAACTAAGACGTAATATTAGTTTAATATAAATAAATATTTAACATTGAATTAACTTTAACTCAACATTGACTCAATTTTAATTTATTTATGACTTTACTATGACAATATTAATTCATTTGTTTTAACTATTTCAATCTCACTTACTTCAAATTTAAAATTATAAGGGTATTAAATTAAATACAGTATTTATTAATACTATCAACATTTCATACATTTATTCATTTATTCATACATTTATTCATTTATTCATTTAAATGTGCAAATCGTCCCCAGTAACTTAACGCAAATGTCAATCAACCAGCAAATCAATCAAAGATTAATGTTAGCGTAGAACCTCTCTATAAATCAAAACTGCTTCCAACAACAGACCTTTACACTGCCAGTGCCAAATTTAATCAACAATGAATCAATAATGAATCAACAATGAATCAATAATGAATCAATTATGAATCAATAATGAATCAACAATGAATCAACAATGAATCAACAATGAATCAATAATGAATCAATAATGAATCAATAATGAATCAATAATGAATCAACAATGAATCAACAATGAATCAATAATGAATCAATAATGAATCAACAATGAATCAATAATGAATCAATAATGAATCAATAATGAATCAATAATGAATCAACAATGAATCAATAATGAATCAATAATGAATCAATAATGAATCAACAATGAATCAACAATGAATCAACAATGAATCAATAATGAATCAATAATGAATCAATAATGAATCAATAATGAATCAACAATGAATCAATAATGAATCAATAATGAATCAACAATGAATCAACAATGAATCAATAATGAATCAACAATGAATCAACAATGAATCAATAATGAATCAATAATGAATCAATAATGAATCAACAATGAATCAACAATGAATCAATAATGAATCAATAATGAATCAATAATGAATCAATAATGAATCAACAACCCGTGTAGAAATTTGTCGTGGCCTTCCTAGAAATAGACTACAGCTAGATAGCATTTGTCGTGGAAAATTATTCTGAAAAAACTGTCCTGGCCCAGAAATGTTAATGTACAGTTTTCCCCTTTATTTTCTTCGCTATAAAGACAGTCTAGAATCTGGCTAAAATTTGTCTAGGATACTGAACTGAAAATTCAGTACAAGTTGGTATAGCAGGTTTTCCAGGAATTAGCTAGGCACTGTCTAGGACGCTGACTTAAGTATTTAGTACACAAGTTCGTGGAGAAGGTGGCTCTGAGAGTCTACTAAGCTAGCAGACGAAATCAGTTCTTGACGTAGTGCTTGATGAAAAGAAACCAAGAGTCGACAATTGTAACTTATCTCGTTGTGAAGATAAAATCAAATTTATAAATCTAGTGAAAAGTTTTCAGTTTTCCATTTTTGAACAGGGACAGTGTACAATTTTAAATATTTTACAGCGAAAAGAAGATTTGTAAGAAAAAGGACATGTGATGTCATCATTCATAGTCTCAGATTGTTTTTCATATTATAATGTTCATAATAAATAATAAAACTTCGGTAATTTTAAGTGAATTTTTTGTGATTGCAACAATATAATATACAATTAATTTTATTATCGGTATACAAGTACGAATCTTTATAGTGAATGTGTTTGTGTTTTAAAGAAAAAATCCAATGTAGCAAAATATGTTACAATTAATTTCAAAAATAATTGTAAGAGGAATTTTGATAATAACAAATACTTTTGTATTACTCTTTTGTTTGTTTAAAAGTTAAACAAACAAAAGAGTAAAGTTGAAAAATATTCTTTTATTATTTATAAACCTAACAATTATTCCCAGTATGTAGAAACTGCTTATTTTAATATCCAGGAACTGGCTAGGAATGATTTATTTTACTACACTGAGAAAAAAAACGATGCCAAAATAGCGCCATCCACTTATGTAGATTCAGCTTTGCTTAACACCGCTGTAACGACTGTGGGGAACACTGCAGTTTCTGCATGAGTTTTCTGCTATTACTACCGTGTCATATATATAAGTTCCTTGAATTCCCGTGCGCGTTGTGTTTCTGCGACACACTGTCACAAACACTGTGTCACAATGCAAAAACTGCAGTGTTCCAACGTAGAAACAACAGTTTTCTGTTTGCAGTGTCACTCATGCAGAAACTGCAGGACTTTACCGCTGAAACGGCGTGTTTTTTTTCTCAGTGTAGACAAGGACTAGACAAAATAACTGTACAAAATCTTGACGTTGCTAGCGTTACATCTCTCGTTCAAGCCTGTCCATTTTTTCCCATCTAGTTGTTAGATTGAATCTAGCACAACTATACAGTTTCTCATACACTTCCACGGTAAATTTCTACACGGGAATGAATCAATAATGAATCAACAATGAATCAACAATGAATCAACAATGAATCAACAATGAATCAATAATGAATCAATAATGAATCAACAATGAATCAACAATGAATCAACAATGAATCAATAATGAATCAACAATGAATCAATAATGAATTAATAATGAATCAATAATGAATCAACAATGAATCAACAATGAATCAATAATGAATCAATAATGAATCAACAATGAATCAACAATGAATCAACAATGAATCAATAATGAATCAACAATGAATCAATAATGAATTAATAATAAATTAATATGGACTGTTTAAAAATATTGATGAAATGGAGTATGATCCAAACCTTCCAGGATTATTCCAAACAGAGGGAAATATTTATTTTAATTGGAACATAAAAAGAATTCTTAAATTCCAAAGGTAAGTAGAAGCCTAATAAACCTATAGAGAGATGTAGAACTATACCGAAATCTCACAGCTCAGAATTTGACTGATGGAAAAGGTTTGAAAAATCCATTGAAAAAAAGTCCACCACGGATGGAGTCCAACGATGGCCTAACAAATGTTGAGAGGATACGATTGAGGTTTGCAGAGGTAAGAGAAAACAAAAGAAAAATTGAACTTGTCGAACCTCACAACATAAAAACATGAAATAAACAAACCGAACCAAAAGAAAATACAGTCAACTCTCGATAAGGTAAAGCGCGATTACTCAAATTTTTCGGTAAGTCAAAATAATTCTTAATGTTTTTACTGCTATACAATAATGAATCAACAATGAATCAATAATGAATCAATAATGAAAAAAAATAGTTAAAACTCACTTACAAACTAAAGCACTTAAAAGCTAAATTATAATTTAAGAGAACGCAAAAAAAAAGAACATAACAATAACACTATCTTTGCACATGCACAGCAGACCATTTACCCCTACTCATACTTTTACACACATGCGTGATTACACACCACCTCAATTTTCATCAATTCTACCGCTACTATAACATTCACACATGCATTATACAATTTACCCTAACGTACCATATTAATAAATACACGCTTATTTTTATAAAATATACCTTCTGTATTTGTTAATTATTAATATAATTATTTATTACAATTTTTATAACGACGCGTCGACGGCGGCGACGTCGTTCTCGACGACCTCCATGCGGAGGTGTCGGCGCCCGAGGTGACGCTGTTCGCTGCGCCTCTGGTGGAGGTGGTGTTGGCGACCTGGGCTGCTGTGACGCTGTTCGCTGCGCCTCTGGTGTAGGTGGCGTCCCCAGCACCACATAGGGTGGTGGCGTCTCTGGCCGATGCCACGGGTACCTGGGAGGCGTTGGAGACCTCACTTCCGGCGACCTGGGCTCTGGTGATGGCGTCGGTGTTGCCTCTGGTGTAGGTGGTGTCGGCGACCTCGGCTGAAGTGGTGGCGTCTCTGGCCTGTGCCATAGGTACCTTGGGGGCATTGGTTGGAGCGGTACCTCTTGACCCGGGTGCTGCAACTAAAATATATATTATATTAATACAATTTAATTATTACTAATTACTTACTTAATTATTAATACTTACATTGTATTGCGACACCATCCTCATCAGGCAGTTGTAGCACTCACACCGCTGGTTCTCCATCTCAATCGTGTGCTGTAAGCTGAATGTGCTCATCTGCTATGTTGCACAATACTTATGGAGATAACCCCACCACGCGCTCTCCCCACTATACACTCTTACGATTATGCTTTGCGGCCGTTGATGGTAGCTAAGAAGATACTTATTACCCGTCGGTAAAGCGCGAAATTTAAAATTCAATGATAATTTAATATTTTATACAAATAAGAATATGAAATTAATTATTAGTTATTGAATATTAAATATATTTAATCAGGTTCAAAACAATAAATTTGAATTAACATAATGAAAAAATATTAATTATTTAATTTAACTTTATAGTAAGTGAGTTAATCTAATTTGAAAATAAAGAAAATTTTTACATTAAATCAATGTTATATTCTATTTGAATTAAAGCTAAATTAAAATTAAATCATTGTTATATTATTTTTTTATTATAGTTAAATTAATATTATCTGAAAGAAACTATAACACGTTTTCGATTCCCATGTAAAACATTATGGTAAATTGCGACACGATTTTGAGTGATAATTATACCTTAAATAAACCGAAAAAGCTTATATTTATTTAAGAAAAAATCCTATGTAAAATCTATTTTTATTTTTCAAGTATGTATAATTTTTCCATATCCCTATTGAAAATTTCCACATGGGATTTTACATTTTACCCGTTTTTGCTTAATGTCCAGATAGAATTTTGGAAAGCAACAACATACTCCAGACATTTCTAAAATTAAAGAAACAAAATTTTAATTCATAAATAGGAATTTGTTATTTATTTATTTTTATAATCATTTTTAAAACATTTCTAGAATTCAAAAATAAGAAAATTTTGATTCATAATTCCCAATTTACCCTAATGACGTTTTAAGGACTTTATATGTTATAAATAAATTTATATGTTACCGTAAACGCTGAAGTTAAATTTCAGTTTTATTGATGCTTTTACTGTATCCTTTATATTGAACATATACATATATTTTATTTCCTACGTTAAATGAAATATGAAAATACATGCTATGAAATTTCCAAATTTAAAACATTAAAATAACAATATACAAATTATTTGCAAACTCAAGTTAATTGATTTTAGATAATTTGTAATAGACATCAAATTCATGAATCTAAACTTGTTAATAAAATAAATGTAATAAATGTAATTTAAAATTTTAAAACATTAACCGATATAAATACCAACTTCATAAAAAAATTAATCAATACTTCTAAAATAAACAACACAAAACACATCTCAAATAGAACAATATTAAAAATATATTTTTTTTTTATAAAACTGCTCTATACATATGTGTAAGGTATATATGAAATATATAAAATAAACAACTTTTTTTTTTTTACATATGTACATTCGAAAACAAGCAGTAACATGCAAATTGACATAAAACTTTTTAAATTAAAAAAAAATGAAAAACATGATTTACAATACACAAAGAACTGAAAAAAAATATATGTAAAACTAAAAAAAAAAACATCCACATGTTAAAAAATGAACAAATAAAAAAAAACAGTTGTGTATCACAAACGAAAGTACATTCACGTGTCGAACTTATTTTATATCGTAAACAAAAATATAGTCTCATGTCGACATAATTGCGATTATTTTATATCACAAACAAAAGAAAATAGAAAAAATAACGTGCAAAACTGAAAAATCATCTTTGAAATAAAAAAAAAGTTGGTTCTGGTCTTGCAACCTATGCTCGTCTCTATACTGCCAAGAAGATGCGGACAGTTTTCTTTATTTTAAAGAAATTTAGAATTAAGCAAAATTAATATAGTAAATTTTTGTAAATTTGAAGTTATAATATATGTATAAAACGTTACTGATGTTGTATTTATTGACATACCCTCATTAGCATTAGGTTAGAGTTAAGATGAATGAGAATATTATGTTGATATCAAGGTATAAAAAATAAAATAATATGAAATATAAAGCAAGCAAGAAATAAAGGAAAACTAGACATGTAAAAAAAATAAATATAACACTTTAAATTATTAGAAAATAAAAAAAATATATTTTTAAAAATAATTATTAAATGTACATTTGTGCAAAGTATATATATCATAAGTATATACCAAGCTAAGAATATTTTTAATGTGTACATTTACAAAATAATAGAATATAAAATAATAGAATGCAAAATAATATAATGCAAAACAAATAATAATTAAATGAATTGTAGGTAAAAAAAAACATATTTTAAAAATATGTGAAATACAAAACTTTACATATGTAAGTTACAAATTAAAAAAATAATTAAATACACATATGTAAAAAAACCATAATAAATTATATGAAGTATATAACTTTACCTATCTACGTTACAAAACAAATAATACTTATAGGTAAAAAATAATATGAAATACAAAACTTTACCTATCTACGTTACAAAACAAATAATACTTATTAGGTAAAAAAAACTATATGAACTATATAACTTTACCTATCTATGATACAAGGTAAGCAATGGTGTACAAATGGAAAATTAAACAAAAAATATGAATATACACCTTTGGTTTTTTTACCTTAAAAGTATACCACATGCAAGGTGTATGAAATAAAATTTAAGAAAACTAAGAAAAAAAAAACATGTGTAAATAGAAAACTGAAATTTTTTGAATCAGCTTAACATGATAGGAAAAAAAAAAACAATTTTGTAAGAAATTCGTTGAAATAAAAAAATATTAAATATCATGTTAATGTGAAAAGAATTCAAAAAAGCATGTAGAAAAATTAGTAAAATAAAGCAAAAAAATAACTGTAAAAGACATTGAAACTGATTTAAAAAATTAACTAGCGCCTCTTTTTCGAAGACGCTGTTGCCATTGCTTTCATAGCTTTCATTAACCGTCCTCGAGTGGTTGTTCGAAGAGGTCTAGCAGCAATCTCTATTGCTCGTCGTGGAGCTGGTTCTAGTCCAGCAACCTGTGCTCGTCTCGGTGCTGGGACAGGGCGTGCACCTTGTGCTGGACCAGCAACCTGTGCTCGTCTCGGTGCTGGGACAGGGCGTGCACCTTGTGCTGGTCCAGCAACCTGTGCTCGTCTCGGTGCTGGGACAGGGCGTGCACCTTGTGCTGGTCCAGCAACCTGTGCTCGTCTCGGTGCTGGGACAGGGCGTGCACCTTGTGCTGGTCCAGCAACCTGTGCTCGTCTCGGTGCTGGAACAGGGCGTGCACCTTGTGCCGGATCCACCCTCCTTGGGTTAGTTCGGACACGGATCCATGGAGCTGGTTCTAGTCTTTCAACCTGTGCTGGTACAGGGCGTGGAGCTGGCTGTAATCTAGCAACATGTGCTCGTCTCGGTGCTGGAACAGGGCGTGCACCTTGTGCCGGATCCACCCTCCTTGGGTTAGTTCGGACACGGATCCATGGAGCTGGTTCTAGTCTTTCAACCTGTGCTGGCACAGGACGTGGAGCTGGTACTAGTCTTTCAACCTGTGCTGGCACAGGGCGTAGAGCTGGTACTGGTATAGGGTGTAGAGCTGGTTCTGGCACAGGACGTGGAGCTGGTACTAGTCTTTCAACCTGTGCTGGCACAGGACGTGGAGCTGGTACTAGTCTTTCAACCTGTGCTGGCACAGGGCGTGGAGCTGGTACTGGTATAGGGTGTAGAGCTGGTTCTGGCACAGGGCGTGGAGCTGGCTCCTCTGCTAATAATAATATTGCCTCAGCTCCATTGACTAATACTCCCAAATGATTATTATCCATTTGCAAGACTTCATTAATGAGATCATTTGGGAGTATAGGTAATACTTGATCATTTCTTTGATCTACGTTGGCAGGTGGAATATCCCAATGGTTTGGCCTTGCTATGAATAAAGCTGGTTCATCCGGATTATATTGCATATTTTGCATTAAGTTTAACGCTCTATTAACTTCATTCTGAAAAAAATAGTAATAATAAATATAATAATGAATTGAAAAAAGTAATAATAAACATAATGAATTGAAAAAAAAGTATTATTACTATGCATACTAGGTAATTCTGAAAATTTTTAATAACTTTTATATAATTTATTAATTAAATAAATGAAAAAGAGAGATTTTTGACATGTAGAAAAAAAAAAGAATTTGAAAAGAAAGAATTTTGAGAAAATTATATCTTTATATTAATTGAGAAAAAAGAATTTGTTAAGAAAAATATAATCCGTTTGAGGTTATATCGTTGTAGTAATGAAAAAAAAGAATTTGAGAAGAAAAGATTAAAGACGTTTGACATGTAGAAAAAAGAATTTGAGAAGAAAGAATTTTGAGAAAATTATATCTTTATATTAATTGAGAAAAAGAATTTGTTAAGAAAAATATAATCCGTTTGAGGTTATATCGTTGTAGTAATGGAAAAAAGAATTTGAGAAGAAAAGATTACAGACGTTTGACATGTAGAAAAAAGAATTTGAGAAGAAAGAATTTTGAGAAAATTATATCTTTATATTAATTGAGAAAAAGAATTTGTTAAGAAAAATATAATCCGTTTGAGGTTATATCGTTGTAGTAATGGAAAAAAGAATTTGAGAAGAAAAGATTACAGACGTTTGACATGTAGAAAAAAGAATTTGAGAAGAAAGAATTTGTTAAGAAAAATGTAATCCGTTTGAGGTTATATCTTTATATTAATGGAAAAAAGAATTTGAGAAGAAAAGTTTACAGACGTTTGACATGTAGAAAAAAGAATTTGAAAAGAAAGAATTTGTTAAGAAAAATGTAATCCGTTTGAGTTTATATCTTTATATTATTGGAAAAAAGAATTTGAGAAGAAAAGTTTACAGACGTTTGACATGTAGAAAAAAGAATTTGAAAAGAAAGAATTTGTTAAGAAAAATGTAATCCGTTTGAGGTTATATCTTTATATTAATGGAAAAAAAGAATTTGAGAAGAAAAGTTTACAGACGTTTGACATGTAGAAAAAAGAATTTGAAAAGAAAGAATTTGTTAAGAAAAATGTAATCCGTTTGAGGTTATATCTTTATATTAATGGAAAAAAAGAATTTGAGAAGAAAAGTTTACAGACGTTTGACATGTAGAAAAAAGAATTTGAGAAGAAAGAATTTGTTAAGAAAAATGTAATCCGTTTGAGGTTATATCTTTATATTAATGGAAAAAAAAAATTTGAGAAGAAAAGTTTACAGACGTTTGACATGTAGAAAAAAAGAATTTGAAAAGAAAGAATTTGTTAAGAAAAATGTAATCCGTTTGAGGTTATATCTTTATATTAATGGAAAAAAGAATTTGAGAAGAAAAGTTTACAGACGTTTGACATGTAGAAAAAAGAATTTGAAAAGAAAGAATTTGTTAAGAAAAATGTAATCCGTTTGAGGTTATATCTTTATATTAATGGAAAAAAAGAATTTGAGAAGAAAAGTTTACAGACGTTTGACATGTAGAAAAAAGAATTTGAGAAGAAAGAATTTGTTAAGAAAAATGTAATCCGTTTGAGGTTATATCTTTATATTAATGGAAAAAAAGAATTTGAGAAGAAAAGTTTACAGACGTTTGACATGTAGAAAAAAGAATTTGAGAAGAAAGAATTTTGAGAAAATTATATCTTTATATTAATTGAGAAAAAGAATTTGTTAAGAAAAATATAATCCGTTTGAGGTTATATCGTTGTAGTAATGGAAAAAAGAATTTGAGAAGAAAAGATTACAGACGTTTGACATGTAGAAAAAAGAATTTGAGAAGAAAGAATTTGTTAAGAAAAATGTAATCCGTTTGAGGTTATATCTTTATATTAATGGAAAAAAAAAATTTGAGAAGAAAAGTTTACAGACGTTTGACATGTAGAAAAAAAGAATTTGAAAAGAAAGAATTTGTTAAGAAAAATGTAATCCGTTTGAGGTTATATCTTTATATTATTGGAAAAAAGAATTTGAGAAGAAAAGTTTACAGACGTTTGACATGTAGAAAAAAGAATTTGAAAAGAAAGAATTTGTTAAGAAAAATGTAATCCGTTTGAGGTTATATCTTTATATTAATGGAAAAAAAGAATTTGAGAAGAAAAGTTTACAGACGTTTGACATGTAGAAAAAAGAATTTGAGAAGAAAGAATTTTGAGAAAATTATATCTTTATATTAATTGAGAAAAAGAATTTGTTAAGAAAAATATAATCCGTTTGAGGTTATATCGTTGTAGTAATGGAAAAAAGAATTTGAGAAGAAAAGATTACAGACGTTTGACATGTAGAAAAAAGAATTTGAAAAGAAAGAATACTTACAAGATTTTGAAAGTCTCTTCGATAGGGACAATTAACTGCGTTGCAGAAGCAGTACATCTTATGCTGATTCGGATCCTTTAAAACAAAGTAAATAATTACTTTTAATTATTTAAAGCACTTCCATTACTCATTTGAATAATACTACTCACCATTGTAAATATTAGAATTATAGAAACAAAAGAATCACAATAAAACGCCGGTTTATGCCGCATGAGGTTTCTCTCACCAGTTTCAACAATTTATAAATGCCTGTTTAGTCCAGTCTGGTTTAGTCTGAGGTTAGGTTGTCTTGAAAGATGGTGGCTTTATCTCAGGGGTGTCCTAATGAAACTAAATTCCTATCCTTTCACAATATTCTTAATTGTTAGAATTTTTTAATGAGTAATAATGGTTTTTTTTAATAATTAAAAATTTAACTTTTATTTTACATAATATTATGCATAAAATTACTTAATAAATATATGAAATAATAAATTTAAAATATTGTGTAAAATAAAATTTAAAAATTCCCGCCACACATTAAACAAGTAGGAAAATGTGGAAATTACAAACCAATATTTCTAAAATATAAGCGAATAAACATTTCTTGCTTTAAAATAATAATAAGTATATACTTATTATTACAAATTTTTTGTTTGATTTATAAAATTAACAAGATTATTATTACTATTTTCAACATTAAACCTTAATAATTTTTACTAATGAAACTAGCCAATGAGAAAACTTCTATTCTTTTAGAGCCGTTGAACATCGATTCATACATATCGAATCTGAAATTGACCTTGGCGCGAATTTCAATTTAAATTCAAAAATGCTTTTAAAGATTTAAGAATATGTTATAGAAAAATTAACTTACCTTTATTAATAAATTATTATTATAAATAATTTTATAAATTATATTATTACTATTATTATTATTATATTATTACTATTATTATTATTATTATTATTATTATTATTATTATTATTATTATTATTATTATTATTATTATTATTATTATTATTATTATTATTATTATTATTATTATTATTATTATTTTTATTATTATTATTATTATTATTAAACAAAAAAAAAGTTAATTAAACTTACCTTACTTAAATAAATAGTTATAGTTTTAGAATATATAAATATTAATTATAAATGAACATTTTATTTTACATATAATAAACATATATTTTCATATATTTGTAAACAGTAATTCTTGTAAACGATAATTATACGAATTTAAAATTAAACAAGTGTAAATATTGTATATTGAATATAATAAATGTATGAACTGTTATTAATACTATATTTAATTAAATACCTTCATTAGTATTACGTTAGATAATAAGGTATACATTTTAAGGTTATGTTTAATAAAATAGATTTTAAGGTTATGTTTAATAAAATAGATTTTAAGGTTATGTTTAATATAATAGATTTTAAGGTTATGTTTAATATAATAGATTTCAACAACTTTTACAAGCGCCATCTATTAAAATTTTAATAATCTTATTAGTGTATACAATATGACGCCATCTTTTCCCGCGAAATACAAACGATTCAGTTGTGGCGCCATCTCTCGGCACAACACTCAAACCGCACTCTGTCGGTAAAACAAAATGGCGTCTCACTGTCCAAGCGGTTTGAATTTTTCAAATAAATTTTTTAAATTTCCCGCCAAGCAAGTTTGAATTCGCTAGTAGCGCCATCCATCAGCGGTAGCCGGCACTAAAAAGAAATCGGTCGGTAAAACAGAGAACCCTCTCTAAGCCACTTGAAAGTTTGAAATTAAATTTTTAAATTTCCCGCCATGCAGGTTTGAATTCGATGGTGGCGCCATCTGTCGGCGGCAGCCAGAACTAAAAAAATCGGTTGGTAAAACAGAGAACCCCTTCTAAGCCACTTGAAAGTTTAAAATTAAAATTTTAAATTTCCCGCCAAGGGGTTTGGAATTTGTAAGTGGCGCCATCTAGCGGTGGCAGCAGGAACTACACTCGGTCGGTAAGGTAGAACACCCCTACCAACCACTGATAAAGTAGAAATCTGCATTACCGACCGAGGGTACTTAGCCGAGATCAGAACCTGTCCCAGATCTCTCCTAGCTATACTACTAATTTCCTTTGCTGAAGTAGCTTTAAAGGAATGTAGAACAGGCATGCCGTGATGATTTAATGGAAGCACGAATCCAATTAATTGGTTTGTGTGAACGTCATACTGTATACGACCGGTAATCCTAGTAGCGTCTTCACTTAACCATACAACTGAAGATAAATTTCTACGTTGTAAAAAATCTATTAATTCTTTAGTGCGACAAGTTTCTTCAATTAATGATGCTGAAGAAGTACGGATCGTCCGCAGTACTGTGGTTGTAGATGGAAGTGGCAAGTTTGCTGCTAGTGTTTCATAAACAATACGACCACCAACTATAAATAAATACGTTGAGAACAATTTTAGTGCATTTGAATATCTATACCCATTGATTTTATTATTAAATCTTTCTTTTTCAGATTTTATAAGCATCCCCAGAAGAGTTGATGTTTTCTTTTTTAAACTTCCAATCTCTAAAATATTTTGAATATAGTTGGTAGTATTATTTATATTTTTTTCAGATTCATATTCCCTTCGGACATTAATAATATTTTCATTAAATTTGTCAAAACAGTTCGCCCGACAACTATCTTGACTTCTTATTCCCCCTGATAAGAAGTAAATTGCTCAGTTTCTTGCTCAGTTTCTAGAGAAGAATTTAAATTAGCGATAATCGATACAGCATGTCCCAAGGCTGTTAATGACCTTGAATTATCTTTATGCTCATCAGTATGAAATAAACTTTGTGAAGTGTCCGAAGGATTGTTTTCCGTACTCTCATTATAAGGCTCAAAATCTAAATGGAAATCAGAAAATTAAAATTAAAAAAATACGAAAAATTAATATTAAATGTCATTAAGAACAATTCTGAGATTACTAGATTATAATAATTTATTCAGTTTGAAACTGTGTAAAAAAAAGTATTTAAAAAAAAGTATTTAAAAAGTATTTAAGATAAAAAAAAAGTATTTAAGAAAAAAAAGTAAAAGTATTTTTAAAAAAAAAGTATTTAAGATTCACAAGCTTAAGTGCTTTGTGGGATATAATATATTAAAATCAATTTCTTATTTTGCTTTTTTCTTACCTGTTCTTAAATTTTTACTAGCGCTCTCACGTGGTCCTTCTTTCGCGGATCATTCTTTCGCGTGTAGCTTAAAATGTTTATAAAAGTTTGAAACTATCCATGTCGGTTTCCTTTTTCCATCAATACATTTTGTTAAATGCGAAATATGATCACATAAAGGACACAATATTTCTGCTTTAAATTGGTTTTCGTGAAACGTAACATTAATTATTACATTACGCAGTGATGCCACGATTGATGGATCCATTTTGTCAGAAAATTTCTTTTCTCCTTGTGTAATACGTTTGCTAATTATCAACTCTTCATTTTTACAATTATTCCGAAATTGAATGCGAAGACTGTGAATTACTATTTACCAAAGAATTTACTTCTTCATGAGATTTAGTGTTCCAGTAACTTAAAGACGTAGACTTAATAAAATCAACCATTCTTCTAATTAACATTTTATCTCCAATTACGAAACGAAAATTGTTTGGTTTTTTATGAAAAATTCCAAAATAAGATTTCATATCTACGTTCACGTCATCCTCAATTAGTTCTATTAATAAAGTTTTTGCAAAATTCTCCAGATCGTCAATAATTTCTTCCGTTATATCACGAAAAGACAATGGATTATCGAAGTTATTATATTTTAAAATATTTTTTAGATATTCAGGAACGCAAGCACCTAATTCAGCTTGAATTTTGTTCCAAAAACGTTGACGAAATTTGTCCTGTTCATCAACACGACAAGTGTTAATATTATTTTTATCTCGATCTCGACTGGAATCCATCGAGGAATCCATATCCTTGTCCATAACTTTATTCTTGAAAGCACTGTAGAAAATAAAGGCTAGAAATGTTATATCTTGTAAACTTCTTAACGAAAAATCTGACAAACAATCAAAGCAAAAGTTAGTGCAACTGTACTTTTTTTTATTGTAATATTGAAAAAGTTTTTTTTTGCAATGTTGACTAGATTTAATTGAGACTATTATCGCTACACTTTATTTGAATAGATATTTGACACATTTTGCATAAACAATATTAATTTCACTTTAAAGTGCAAAAGAATGGTTTGATATACTCTGATTGTTTTCAGTGTTTGTCAAAATCCGAACTAAATAAATTTACACCCACAAGAAAAATCATTTGAATAAATTATTCAATTACCGGTTCATTAACTATTATTAAAAAAAATTTTATTAATCGTACTAAAGTTTACAATAAAGTGATTGAGTGAAAATTTTTTTTATTACTTTTTTATTAAATAAAAAATAATACTAACATCAACAATAGCACACTTGTTTTGAGGTTATAGTTGGTACTGTCATGGCGACAATAGAATCCAGATATCGAACGCCAGATATCGAACGCCAGATATCGAACGAGATATCGAACGAACGAGATTATGTTATATTGTACAATGCTCGACCAATGAGCACACTGTTTCATGAGCATTCGGTTAATGATTCGACATTCGCTCGGTTAATTCCATAATCACTTGTGACTCGTGAGAATCTTCGTTGAATAAGTTAGGATTCTACTGGAATCGTAAAAATTCATTTGGATTCGTATAGTATTCGTCCAACTCGAACGTCGTTTTTAATAATCATTGATAATCTCAACATGAAATAAAATACATTATAATCAAGAAATTTCAATACTCATATGATAATTGGCGAGTATTCTTAAATAATCGTCACATTATGAATCTTGGATTCGAGAGTGAACAGCCCCTCGATTCTATATGAAATAAGGATTTAAGTAAAAATCTGTTTGTAATAATATACGATGTTTCTACGAGCGTCAATATTATTTTCGCTATACGGGGCCGTTAAAAAAGTACGTAACGCTAATTTTCGGAAATTTAGGCCCCCCCTCCCTTCTAAAGCGTTACGTATTTTTTGAACGGCCCGTACAAATTGACAGCTTTGATGTCGGAAATAAATTTATCACATGGTCGCCTATAGAAAGGGATTTTAAAATAGTTGAATAAGTAATTCTTGTTTTATAATAGAAAATTTATTAGCTCCAAATTTTTTTAATACCGATCTCATATAATTATTTTGATGCAAAGGAATAAAATAAAGAAATTTTTATAGACTAGAAGACATAATTAAAGATAATTTAACAAATATATATAAGATAAAAATTAATTCCTTTTTTTATGATTTTGTAATTAATAAATAATTTTTAATTTTATCTAATTTCCCAATTACTAATTAACAAATTTTCTAAAATAATACAACAAAATTCCATAAATTTTAGAAATAATTTAATTTTTCAAAATTTTGTATATTTGTCATTTTTAATATTTTTATTAATTACAATGGAATAAATTGTACCTCCAGAGGTACTAATTAGCAATTTTAATTTTTAATCTTTTAAAAAAATTATTTTAATGAATAATAAAATTAAAAAAAAATGTTAGCTGCTGCATTTTAAATGCAATTATAATTTATAAATAATAAATAATTTATTATTTACATAAATCATTAAAAATAAATAGTTAGACAAATAAATATATTAAACAAAAATTATAAACATTAGTTTATTAGGGGAGACTGGGGTAAACCCGCGCACAGGGTAAACCCGCTCACTAGCGATTTGACGCTATGAACTCAACTTAAGATGGAAATATTGGTACTGTGAATAGTACTTAACATTCAACTTATACTAACGAACTTTCGTTTAGTTTCATGAAATCAACACAGAATCAGAGGCGATCAAATGTTTTTAGAGGTGTCAGAAAAAAAACGTATTTTGGATTTTTAAGTTTTTTGATCATTATTTTTGAGTATTAATTTATCTGGCAAATTTTTTTTTTTTTGCCATTGGATGTCCTTCTTCGAAGTACATATAGTTTTGTCTTATTTTAAAAAGATTTAATTAAATTTATTTTTAAAATGTGAGGAATACACTCGGGGTAAAGTCGCTCACCTGAAGTCGGGGTAAAGCCGCTCACTTAGTTTTAAATTTAAAATTTAGAATAAAATAATTTCACGTATTATATTTCAACAATAACACAATTTATGACTTATTAAAACCAAAATTGTAACTACATTTCACTTTCTCTTAATAAAATATAACACTATTTAAATCCATAGTTGTAATTCATGAAATCTATGTACATTATTTATGAAACCAATTTGTTGTTTATAGAATTGTTTATATAACTTATAAATTATCAATAATAAATCATACTTAAGACGGGAATAAGACGAACTTTAATATTTAAAAAATAAAACTGTTCCGTCTTGAAAAGATAAAGTGAGCGGGTTTACCCTGGAAAATTGTGATTTCGAAATTTGGTATAAGTTTATTAAAGAGTTTCTCTAAGTAAAACCAAAAAAGATAAATCAAAAACTCTTTTTTATTTTTTTAGTAGAAATCATAAGCTTTCAAATGATATAAATTAACTTGGATTTAGAGAATAATTTCCTAGATTTTAGCCGATCTGAAAAAAGTGAGCGGGTTTACCCCAGTCTCCCCTATTATTTAATTAAAGAAATTTATTTAAATAAAGGAATTTTTTCTCTTGGCTGCCAATATTTGGCCAATATTAACAACAGATGCTTGTCGAACCCGTTACATTACAAGCTACAGCCCATATTGGTCCAATATTGGGAGCCTTTATTGGACCGATGATCGATCTCTTGGCTCCCCATATTGGACCTGAGAGTTTCTCACTAGGTTGGTGTGATTTTTGTTGCGTTTGAAATTAGCCAATGTTAAACGACATAAAATGCGGTGTTAAAATAACACTTTTTATTTATTTATGCTTCTTTTATGTGATATATTAAATAAGGATATAAGTATAATATAATACGATGTTTTTATAGGAGTCATAGTGGGGCTAAATGCCAAAAAGATGGCTAAAATATAAAATGTTTTTCCTATTTTTGGGAGGATTGGTATAAGGCAATGGCAGATCCAGACGAGGCATCTGGGGAGGGCAAAGCATTCCAAAAAAGGTTTTTGGGGGGCCATCCATTAAAAAAATGAAATCAATATAGTAATATATAGACTGTACGGCTATGGCCCAGCCTGAACTAGGATATTTAAGGAGGATGGTGACTCAAATAAAAATGTTAAGAATTTTTTGAAATTTGTAAAAACTCGTTGTTAAGAATGTCTAAATTATAGAACAATTTTTTTTTGAATTTTCTACTGTCCCGTTTTTGAGAATTTAATTATTAAAATTGCATGTTTTTATATGGGCTCTTATGGAGAGTGTTATGTGAAGTGCACTATTTTGATAATAACTTGTGTAAAAATGTTAAACTTTTTTTAAAAATCATACTCTTTTAAAGTTTAATACTTTTGGAATAATTTTAAAAAATAATTGAGTAAATCGACTGTCCTGATTTTTATAAATAACATTAAAAGTGACGTAAAATTACAGATTTTCTAACCTCTCTAACATAATACACAGAAACGTGGCAACGTCGCATTGTAATCATATATACGAATGAAATCTTATTCAGTGTTACCAACAATTCTAGCATGCATATGGAATGCGCTGTTGTCACGATCTCCATGTTCATAAAATTTTTTTACAAAATTTTTTTAAGTAATTAAATAATTATTTTCTAAAATATTTTTTGAGAATAATGAATTGGAATTATTAAAAATATTGTTTTTTTATGTCTAATGTATTAAGTATTGCATATTTCACTTATAAAATATATATTAAAACAGTTGGTATTTGCAGTTCTAATCCCATATAAAAGCATGTGAATTCCCCTCTCGCCGCCTGCCCCGAAAAGACAGTCACCATCCTCCTTAAAAACGGTTTAGTCGTTTTTTTTAATACGATGACGGAAAATTTTACGGTGAAATCAAAAGACGAAACTTTTGATGTAAATTCGTTTCTAGGAACAAATAGTCAGACGTTGAAAAGTAGAAACGAATTAAGAAATTTGCGCGAAAAGGAAAAATCGGATGATAATTTTCAAATGCGTTTGGATAATCTTGAAGAAGATAAACGCGAAAATTGGAAAAAACGACAAAATCATTTTAAGGAAAATTGTCGGAAAAATCAGGAATTTAATTACAAATGGCTCGAAGCTAGTGAAATAGAGGTAGTAGACGAACCCAACATTTCAGAAAACTCTGATTTTCAGCCCAAAAAATCAGAGAAAATTTTTCGTAAAGAAAATTCGCGACCAAGACAAAATTTTTCAAGACGTGGAAATTATTGTTTTGGAAATAAGAATATTGCTTCTCATGGCGACGCTCAGGAACAATATTCCATTTCAGATCAAGTTGAACATGAAATCACACTCAAGGAAAAAGAACTTGATAGATTGAGGATAGAAATTGATCTTATGAAAAGCATTAAAGAAAAAATTTTAAAAGCGAAAAAGCCGAATTCCGAAGAAAATTTTTTGGAATATCCAAATGCCCAAGCCGATAATAATCGCCATTTTGGAAATTTTAGAAAATTTGGTGGAAGTTCAAAATTCCAATCAAAGTGTTCAGGAAATTATTTTCAAAGAAACTGGTCATATGACCAACCAAAAATAACTTTTCTACCTGACACAGCTACAGACGGTAGTAGAGGTCAGAACATGATAGAAAATTCTTCTAATGATGACAATAATACAGATAACAGTCTGCAAGTGGAAGTACAAAATCATTCTTCTGCAGGGAATGTAAATGCTTCTAGAACAGATCAAAAGGATATAAATTATCAGAGAAATTTTTCAAACTCACAGAAAAGATGTTACGGTTGCGGAACATTAGGTCATATACGTAGGGAATGTAGATCAGAATCACGGAAACGAGTAGAGGAGTTACGGAAAAATTCAGTATCCTCAGAAAATATTGAAACATCGGAAAATTTTGAACCTTTGATGACGATAGGGGAATTAGTTGAAAAAGTGAACAGAGTCAAACTCGTAAAACAGAAAGTAGGATCACAAGCGGAGTGGTCAAACACACATTATGAAAATCGAATAATTAAAAACGCGCAAAAACCCGAGAAAATTAGGGTAAAATCCAGGAAAAATTTTGAACTGAAAATGGTTCGCAAAAACGGAAATTCGAGAAAATTCGAAGAAAAATTTGAATTGAGAAAAATTCAAAGTAATGTATATTGGACAAAAGTCGAGGAAAATTTTAGAAAACACGAGAAAAATTCTAAAACGAGAATATTTGGTAGAAAGGAAAATTCTACAAAATTCGAGAAAAAAGTCGAATTAGGAAAAATTGAAAAATACGTTTGGGAAAAATACGAAAATTTTTCAAAAGGTCGACTCGAGAAATCATAGGAAAATTCCGAAAATTATACCAAGACAATCCTTACAAAAGCCCAACCAAATCCCAATCCCAAAACCCCGGAAAATTCTTCTGAAACTGATGGAAATCCCTTTATACGACAAATTCGAAACATTAGAAATGGACTTTAGTCTTGACGAGACTGACGATCCAAATCTGTTAACAATCGACAACACACGTAAGGCAAAATGGTATAAAAAAGAGGAATTAAAGAGAAAAATAAACGAACGCGTAACAAGTTCGGAAAACTGGCGAATGCAGGAAAATTCGCAAAAAAGGAGAAACGATGCGAGTGCGAAAGTATCGTAAAATTTAGGATCGGAAAAAATTATGACGACTGGAAACAAATTTCGTAGACTCTAGATACGAAATGTAAACTTTTTAAAGATTAATGCGTCAATTATTGCATGTCACGAAAAGCAAATGCAAAATAATTGAGGAAATCAAATAGACTTTTATTTTTAATTTTTTTTTAGAAATTAATGGAAAGAAAATTCTTTTTTTTTTGAAAATGTTACAGGTAATACTGGAAAATAAGGAGATTTGGCCATGCAGATTTTACAGGAATTATGGAAAACAAAAATGGAAAGCTCAAATAGATGGATACGAGCTAACGTCAACTGGAGCCAACTGGGATAAACGTCGAGAGGAACTGCTGGAAAATGGTCTTGCAGAAAATTCAAGGAAATTAGCGGAAAATTTTGTAAGGGGTTACACTTCGTTCCGTTTAGGGGAAGGGGGGTGTAACGTGGCGTTACGAATTCTCCCGCGTCTGCTGCGAATCGGGCGATTGAACCCGGAAACGGCCGAAGGGCCTCGAGGGTTTCAATCGCCAAATTCGCGGACAGACGCGACACTTGTTGTTCCGATCTCCCCAAAAGCAACACCTGATTGCTGAATTAGTTGTGAGTTGTTCCGTGCTCTGATTTTTGTGCCATCGAATTCCCGAGTGTAAATAATCGACGACTCGTAAGTCAATAAATATTGTTTTATTTAAATACTGTGTCTCCCATTTACTCTCCTTCCTCCCCTTTTCCCTTAATTATAATTGGAGATCTGGGCCTCCTATTATAATACGTAGGATTGTTTAATAAAATTAAAACTCAATGTATACCTAATTTCAGGCATCACAGTTACTTTTATCTTTAAAAAGGATGAAAAGGGAAATTTTGTTTCCTGAAAAAGAGAACTAAAAGGAGACATAAAATATACCAAACAACAAATAAAAATGTGTTTAACGTTTTAGTAACCCTTTTTGGAAAAACAAACATTAATTTTTAAGAAAAACCTACAAAAATTTATTTTGTTAATACAATTTGCATAGAAAATAAAACTTTTTTTCAAATCGCTTCCATAGAATGTTTTAAAAATTATTTGAAGAGGTTCTTTATTTTTTATTAGGAAAAGTCAAAATAGGGGACCAATCGACAAAGCGAGGGAAAAGGCGATAAAATAAAAAAAAGGAAAAAGAAGACTATCTGTGATGTCTGCAATTTTTATAATAAAATTGGAATTTCCCACATCAGAAACAAATATTGTATGAGCATCCGAATTGCTAATAAATTTAATTAAATTATACAAAAGTTTTAACTCTACAGTATAGATTGAAAAAATCAAAAAATAAAATATATAAAAAAAATTAAATTAAATTAAAAAATCAAACACTCTTTAACAATAATTCAACAATAAATATATATAAAAAAATGTAAACTTATACTGAAATGTCAAAGTTAATAATGCTTTTAAAGTATAGATAAAAAATAGTTTTTTACCAATCTTTGTTGCATATCGTTTGGTAAATTAATGTACGATGTCCTTTCCTTGTCACCTTCTAGTTCAGGGAGTGATTCTTTAGTAGCCAAATCATTTCCTCCATTATTTTGAAGTACTTTTTCTGTATCTATTAATTCAATATTTGCTGATTGAGTGTTGTCTGTCCCAGTTTCATTCAACTGATCATCTGTTGCATTCGATTGATTATCTGTTGCATTCCATTGATCATTTGTTGTCTTCAATTGATCCTCTGTTGTTTTCGACTGATTATCTGATGCATTCGATTGATCATCTGAAATAAAAAAGTTTTTTAAAAAAAAACCATAGATTATGATTGCATGTACGGAATATTTTTATATCTTATGATTGTTCGTTTTAAAGCTAAATTTTTTATTTTGATCCATATTAAATTTTTTTATCACATTCATTTTAAAAAATGGTAATTTTATTTTTCAGAGTAGTCACAAGTTTTAGTTTATCAATTTCACTGACATTAAAATTATTTTCCCTGATAAAATTCTTTGTATAGAAAAATATGAAAATTTACGGAAAATGAGTAAAATGTAACATTTTCTAAAAATTACAATTAAAACCCTACCTGAATTCAATTTTCGGAAATATGTAATTAAAAATGCTGAAAATATTAAATTTTAAAAAATCAGAAGCTAATTCTCATTAATTTTTATTTTTTAAATTACCTTTAAAGATTTCTCATTAACATTCCGATAATTCAATAATTTTCTAAACATTTAGTTAAAATTCTTCAAATATTGATTTTTAAAAATTGTAATAAAATATTTAAAGCAATGAATTATTTCCAATTAAATTTTACAACATTTCAATCATACAAAAAATTTTTATTATAGATATATTTGAAAAATTTAATTTAAAAAATAATTCAAAATCAATTTTGGAAAAATTTGTTTATGTTATTGATTGGTTTAAAAAAATTTTAATAAGTTACATTTTTTACTAAAAAATGTGGTATTTTGTTGCAATATTTGTAAGAAAAGTCGAAAAAGTCTTAAATTTAAAAAATATTTCGAAAAAAGTCTGAATTTTTTAAATTTCTCTGACAAAAACATTTTTTTTGTCATTTCTCTGAAAAAATTTTTGTCTTCCTAACATTTCCCTTACTATACTGACATGTGGCCATCCTGGTCTTTAAATATTCATGGTTGAAATATCGAATTGAATTTAAATCAAGAAAAAACGATTTTAAATTTTGAACACATGCACATTTCAAATTATTAAAAATTTTACTTTACCCAGTTTCATGTGTTTTACAGGAACACATCCACAGTAAGAGCATAAATTTTCTTTACTGTAGCAATAAGAGGGGCACTTTTCACATCTACACCGTCCTCGTTTAATTCCATTGGAATCGAAATTGCTCATTTCTGAAATATAATTTTTTATTATTAAATGCTTTATAATTTTAACGGCAACTTCACTAACACATAAATTGTAAAATTATTTATATAACAATTATACAATTCTTTTAATTTCCTTTAATTCTTTTTAAGACAAATAAAAATTCAAAAATATCAAAAATTGTGGTAAATAATTTTTAGTACAAAGTTTTTTGATACTGAAACAAATTCTTAAATTAAAAATATTCTTACAAATAATTTAAATAAATTATATTAATAAAAATTTTAAATATTGATATTTCAAAAAAATTGTATCATGGAAATATTACAACAATATTTATTATGAACTAGCTGTCGTACCCGTCTTCGACGGGTTTTAGTTTCTACTAATATATTTGAACAGGTGTCTACCAATTGGGAATTTAATTTGACTGGGAAAAACTAATAATTAGTTACCATTAACTATTTCATTATCAAAATATTACCATTTGAATCAGTAAATGACTTTTTCTATCAAATACTATTTTCAACTAATTCAGATTTACAGAACAGTATTTGTCAATTTGTAGTACTTTATGCGTTCGTAGTATTTTAATTAATGCATTAATAATTAATACTAATTTTCCACCAGCTTTTGGAGTTATATAAGAGTCTAATTCGAACTAATTGTATCGCAAGTAGGCCCCACGTTACGACTGCTAAAATCAAAAATAAGACCTATATTGTAATCTGAAAGTAGGTCTTAAATTTTGACAAATAAAAATATTACATCAATAGAAATTAAAGCAAAAACAATTTTTTAAAAATGAATTAATATAATAAAACTTTTTTTAATTAGATAAGAAAATTCCCGATTTTTCTAGTCGAATTAAATTCCCGGCTATTTCTCGGGATACCTTTCCGATTAATAGACACTCTGTTAAATGTATTAGTAGAAATTATAACACGTTTTTGATTCCCACATGGGAAATCTACATGGGATCTACTTTTATAAAGGAAACCATATTGATTCCTATGTAAAACCGTATGGTATAATTTTTCCATATCCCTATTAAAAATTTCCGCATGGGATTTTACATTTTACCCGTTTTTGCGTAATGCCCGGATAGAATTTTGGAAAGCAACACCATACCCCAACCATTTCTAAAATTCAAGAAGAACAATTTTAATTCATAAATAGGAATTTGTTATTTATTTTCAAAGTCATTTCTAAAACATTTCTTGAATTCAAAAAAAGAAAATTTTGATTCATAAATCCTAATTCATAAATCTTAAGGACTTTCTGTGTCCCAGTGCCCGCTAAAGTCAAATTTCAGTATTATTGATACTTTTACTGTATACCCTTTATATTGAACATAAATATTTTATTTTCTACGTTAAATATGATAATACATACTATGAAATTTTTAAACTTAAAACCTGAAAATATCAATATAGAAATTGTTTGCAGACTCTCACGTTAATTGATTTTAGAAAATTTGTAATCGGCATCAAATTCATGACTCTAAACTTTTTAATAAAATAAATGTAATGAATGTAATTAAAAATTTAAAAACATCAATCGATATCACTACCAACTTAATAAAAAATTAAACAATATTCAACAAAAAAAATTAATTAAAAATTTTGTCGAAAATCAGAAATATGATTTTGGCTTAAAAATTCGGATTAATTATTTATATTTCATTTTTATAGTAAAAATTAGTTGTATTTACATTAAAAAGTAGCTACAAAAAGTGTCACATCAATTTGACAAAAATTTAAAAAATTTGCATTTTTTTGATTTTTTGAATTTTGTGAAAAAAGCTATAACTTTCGTTTAGCTTAATATTTTTCAATCGGATATGGCTATAAATTTAAGTTAGACTCAGACCAAAGAGACTGTAAAGTTTCGTTTTAATCGGTCAAGTAGTCTTTGTGTTTATCCCGGACAAAATATTGCGTACAGACATACACACATACATACACACATACATACATACATACATAATTTTTTTTATTGTCATTTTTGGAATTCCTACTACTCGAATAGAAAAACTAAACATGAAATTTCAAATTCTATGCAATGTACAGACAAAAGTCTGATCTTATTTATAAAGATGGTTATTCATTTAATTTATTCTATATTTAGTGTACATTTATTTCTATATTTATTTCATTATTCGTATTCAGCTTTAATATTATCTTTTGAAGATGAAATATAAACAACAGACATATAAGAGTACTTTTTCCATCATATAAAAATATTTTAGAAACAAGTTTATAAGATTTTAATTCAAAGAAAATTTCAGAAAAATAAATAATATTTACCGTTACTGCAGCGACAGATAAAAATAATAAAAATATTTTTGAAGGTCACTTTGAAAAATACGAGAAATACTTATCTTATATATGTACATATAGACATTTTATTTATCTATAGTTATGCACTTAAAAATATTACCTTTTCAGTATTGAAGTAGCGTTCCACACAAAATTATGAAAAACACTTTTTAATTAAAGAAGATTTTATATCGCCATAATATAATTTTCATTTGTTTTATAACAAGAGTGTTGTTTCAAATTCACTAGGCGACACGTGTTTGATAAACTAACCTAACACGAGAATGTCACGGATACCACCTTTTGCGTTTGGCGGTTGTTACCAACATATTCACAAAAAATAAAGTCCGATAGACAGCGTTGCGCACATAATATACGTGGAGATTTCTACGTATATTACGTATGTAAATTACCTCAAAAATTTCAAACACATTGCATTTTCTTATGTTGGGAGGTAAAACACGTAATTTACAATGTAAAAAACCATGTAATATACGTCAATAACAGGTTGAGTCCACAATAGACCACTTTTCCTTAAAGCAATGTCAGATGCGGAAAGTCAGTGACAATAGAAGAGCAGAGGCTATGCATTGCTATAATAGGAAAAGTTGTTTAGTGTTGCGTTGTAATGAGAGAGAATGCAGCAAACGTATATTTGCGACTTTTTCTCTCCCATTACGACGCAACGCAAAACGCTGTCATGGGACTCTAGCCTAAGGGTAAAGTCCCATGGCACCGTTTTGCGTTGCGTTTTGTGTTTTGCCATGAGTGCAAATATAGCCAACAGATATCTCCATCTCTCTAACACTCATGGTCCAGTTATAAAACGCAACGCAAAACGATGCCATGGGACTATACCCTAAGTCGAATTGCTTTATCAAAATACGAATAAACGTCACGCTTAACTTTCGTAGATCGAAGTGAGGATTTCCCATAATGCTCCATCGTGGTCTTCAGCCTGCTCACATGGGATTGCAGTTTTTGGTGTCAGTAAACAGGAAAGGTGTGAGTCTACCTTTACTGAGTTTACTTTCTTGTGAATTTATTGTATTGGTAGCAATGGAATTTGAAAATAACGAAGATTTTATCACTTCAGGGAGGAGAAGGGTAAAACATTTTGTTAAAATTTGTAAAAATTATGGCGTTAATATATTAATAATAGTGCGTGTGATATGAAAAGTGTAGCAAAGGTCATAATTTTCTAAAGAAAACGTGTAACTATCATTGACAGAAGACGCCTTATTATTGATAAAAACATTCAATTTCTTATTAAAATGTACCATGCAAACTTGTGTACATAAGTAAAGTAACTCTTAATTACGTTTTGAAAATATAAACCATAAAATTCTGAATCTCATTCATACAAATTAATTCCTATAATATATATATATATATATGTCAATGTAGGCAAAATACAGTTAATTAACTGGAACCATTCTGTTACAGAAATGGAATTCCAAGGATTGTATTGGTTAACATTAATATTAATCAATTTGCCACTAATGTTTTGCATCGTTGGATATGACTGTGGTTCAGCTCAAGCAAACATAACAACATTATCATTGTTGCAAGTAGGAGAGTGCGATTTACCTGAATCTACAAGTACAATAAAAGTTGATAGTGTTTATGTACAACTGTTGCAAATGAATGACTATTCAAAAACAGATGTTTTCCAATGCAAGGTAGAAGTTATAAGGTCTATATTCCACTGCGGTATGCACTCGCATAGTTCTGCAGTAGTAAATGGATTAAGTTCATATATACAAGAAATTTCAAAAGATCAATGCGAAATGTTACATGCCACTGGATCAATTCTCATAACTCCAAACATTCATTTAAATCAAATAGTACAAAATGTAAGTAACCAAAGAAGTGTAACATTAGCAGGATCACTTTCATCTGATGGTTCATGCGACGGGACACAATATTCAGACAGTTATGGAACTTGGGATAACGTTGTGGTTCAAGAATCTTACACTATAACTTTACAAAAATATCAAGCAGTAGTAAGTCTTAATTTTGATAAATTACACTTGAGGTCTGGAACTGTGTTTGTTTACCTTTTCAAAATCAAGATGTATAGATTTAGAGGGTGGTCACACATTTTGGTACACGCTTCCTAAAGATATTTGCGACACTAAAAAATATGACGTTCTTTACCAAGGACCAGCAAATATAACTTTCGATACATCAGCAACAACAACAGAAACTATATATTCCCTAGTATCTAATGAAATTGTATTTTCTCTTGCTAAAAAGAGTAAAGTTCCTCACTGTGGATTCATGTTCGTTCAAACAGAACATCCCAAACTTTTAATTTTGGAAACTACTCCAACAACTTCATTTCTTAAACGAGAAAAACTTGACGTTCAAAAAATGGATATGTTTACATACACAAATTCTAAATTTGTATATACAGAACGACATATTCGTACTGAAATGCAAAAAATGTATAGGGATATTCTTAAACATAAGTGTCAATTAGAACAAAAAGTTTTAAGAAACTCCTTGGCTTTGGCAACCTTAGCTCCAGATGTATTCGCCTTTCATTTGATGAAAGAACAGAGTTTCATGGCCGTTGTTGCTGGAGAGGTAGTGCATATTGTAAAATGCGTACCAATCGAAGTAAAGTATAGAAACACAGAAGAATGTTACCTTGAAATTCCCATAACATTTAAGAACGAGTCGCATTTTTTATCACCGCGAACTCATCTTTTGTTAAGCAAAGGAACCCCGACACCTTGTAATTCTTTCCTTCCTCAAATGTATTTCCTTGGAGATGTATGGTATCAATTTCCAAATCCCACAAAAGCACAAAAACCTGAAATATTAAGGCCTGAAATGAAAGATACTTGGACATACACAAATCCAGACTCCTTGGCTACATCCGGTATATATTCTCAAACTGATGTTGACAGATTACAAAGCCATATAATGTTTCCAGTTGAAAAACCTGGAATATTGAGTACAGTAGGTAGGGGATTAATGGGGCAATCAATAAAAAACCACGGTATGTCTTTAATAAATTTTGTTGATGAAGAATTTGTTGAAAAAATTGCTCATTCTGCATGGGGTCGATTTTGGACAATCTTTTCAAACTTTGGAAACACTAGCGCCGCATTTATCGGAATATTTATAATTATAAGAGGAATCAAATTCATTGCAGATACAGTAATTCATGGATACGCGTTGCACAATCTATTTGGTTGGTCATTTCATCTTTTAGGTGCTCTCTGGGATTCTGTTACAAATCTACTTCTACATTTGGCGGCCCATCGAAAAGCGGATGAATATTTGAGAAAGAAAAGTAATAAAGATTCCTCAGATATCCTAAATAAATTCGAAGAAGAAGTTCCCTTAAAAGAAGTAGTAACTAGTAATGAAGAAATGAATACAAAATCTTTTAATCACCATTTCTCTAAAATAAATCAAGAACAAACTAATAATTATTATTCTGCTCAATTTGAACAAAAAAAGTAATACATTTAAAAAAATAAATTTTAAAGCAAATATTTTATTGATCAAATTTTTTTTACAAAAAATATTTAAAAGAATAATTAGAATAAAAAGAAAATGTTTTGAAATTTTCATTCTTATTCAAATTCTAACTTATTATTAACTTTTGTATGTAACAAATGATAGGAAAATGGAGAATATATATGCCGCACATCATCAAGTTTCTAAAATCGAAAACCTAAAACTGAATAAAACAGGAATTTTAAATAATATGCTACTTTTAGAAAATTTTACTTCAAGATTTGGTCTTCCATTTCCGGAAGTTTCAACGTACAGAAATGAAGATTATAATAATAAACATTTTTTTGTAACAAAATTAATAATATTACATCATATGGTATTTCAAGTAGGAGAAACAGAAGCATTGTCTGAAGATAGGGCTGCATTAAATTTATTACAATTATTATTGAGAAATTACGACCTATGCGTCGAAGAACATATAAAATATTTAGATAGTAATAAAAGTCAAAATAAATCTGTACAAACTGATCCGCGACCAAAGTTGGTAGAATGGAGAGATTCATGTAAATTTTGTAAAATAATTTTTCATTCCGCTAAAGAATGTAGAAAAAATAAACATAAATGCACATACAATTATAATAAGTCGACCCGATATTCGAATGAAAACACTCCCAATAGATTTTCAGTATTTAGTAGACCTCTACGTAGTATAAGAATAAAGTAAAAATATATCACAATTTAACTAAATCACATGTTATTTCATTTTTCTTGTTTCAGAAACCACAATGCATATTCTGCTTCAAATAAAATTATTTTTTGTTATTTTATTATTTCAAATTGGCAAGTGTCACTACATCGATAATCCCTTCGGTCAGCCTGGAGGGTTATATTTTGAAGAGGATATTGATTTTACGGTATTAGGGAAGGACTTTAACTTTTTCTCTTTTTTTGATATCTCAAAAATTTTTGATTTGAAAAATGACATAGGAAAAGCTTATGAAGAGCTTTTAATTAATTGTACACATTGTGATACAGAGATGAAAAAAGAAACATTTACTTTCAAACAGAATATTATAACAAAAACAATAAATAACATTTATACCTTACTACCAAATGAAACAAATTCACAATTTTTAAATAATGTTAAAGGTTTCTTTTCTGAAATAGAAAAACACAGCGGTTTTTATTACAAAAGAGATAACAATTCTCTTTTTCTTCAAAACACAATGTTATCACAAACAACTAACATATTTGATCCAATTGAATATTATTCAGAAAAAAATAATATAATGCATAAAAGTGACTTATTCAGCTTTTCGGATGATAGCACAAATATGTTTACTGCTATTCACGCAGCTCAAGACCGTTATCTGAAATTTTTGTTAGATCTGTCAAATGAACTTGTACATGTTTTTAAAGGACTTTGGGATCCACTTCTTCTTCCAAATTCGTTATTTTCTTCACTCAATTTTACAGTCTCTATTAATAAATTCGGTCATATCTCCGAAATAATACCATTCTCAAAAGTCTATGTGCATACTTATAAAAATTATATAATCAGTCACCTTACTACTTATATACCCTATTCTTCACAATATACACTTTTCAGAATTCACTCCATACCTTTTTTTACAAAATTCAATACAAAAAAAAATTTTTCAATCTACATGAAATCTGAATTATCATATATAGCAATATCAAACGATAATAAAACATATATACCACTCAAAGATAATGAAATAAAAAAGTCTTGTCATGAAACAACAAAAGGATTATTCTGTT